AGGGGGCTTTTTAAAAATTGCATAGAGGTTCCTTGGACTTGCATCAGTTATAAAAGCAATCTGGGGACCCCAAACAGTTGGGTTGGTAAATGACGGGGGGTGTGGGGTGAAGAATAACTTCATTGTGCTTGCACACAGACTGGCCTACACAAGCATGGGACCTGAGTGGGAGAACCTGAGAGCTCAGCAAGCAGGTGGGAGGCCCAATGGCCTCCTGGAGAGCCAGGGAGGGCTGACACAGGGCTCTAGTCCAAGCTCCACCACAGATGTTCTCATGTTGGCAAATCCTTAATTTCCCTGGACCCACGAGTAAAAGGAAAGGTAGGAGGTAGACATGAGAGGATAGAACAAGAGAATCATCAAAGATCCCCTTATGGGTCTACCACATGGGAGGCTCTGAGACAACAGAAAACTAATGGGAAACTAGTTTTTTGTGATTTTTTTAATATTTTATTTTTTAGTTGTAGATGGATACACAATATTTTTATTTTGTTTTTATGTGGTACTGAGGATGGAACCCAGTGCCTCACGTGTGTCAGGCGAGCACACTACCACTGAGCCACAAACCCAGCCCTAGTGGGGTTTTTTTTAATATTCTTTAGTTATAGGTGGACACAATAGCTTTATTTCATTTTTATGTGGTGCTGGGGATCGAACTCAGTGCCTCACACATGCTAGGTGAGTGCTTTTCCTCTGAGCCACAACCCCAGCGCCCCCAGCCCTAGTTTTTTGTGTTCTTTTTGTTGTGGTGGTTGTTTTATTTGTGGTGCTGGGGATGCAACCCAGGTCTTTGCACATGCTAGTCAAGCACTCGGCCACTAAGCTACATCTCTGGCCTTTGTTTTTATTTTTCATTTTGAGACAAGGTCTCACTAAATTGCTGAGGCTGGCCTTGAACTTGTGATCACCCTGCCTCAGCCTCCTGAGTGGATGGATTATAAAGCATAAGCCACCACCATGCTCAGCAGGGAACTAGTTTTAAGGGATCCTGTTTCTGAAAATAACCTAACTGGGAAGCCATGGGCATGGCAAAGGAGGATGGACTTCTGCTTTTTGCTGGATGTTCTGTAAAGAGCTGTGGTCCCCGTTCTGATGTACAAGGACAGTTACCTCTGGGAAACACATCAGCTCCTAACTGCCCTGTTTCCACCTCTGACCAGATGAAATGTTTGCTGCCATAAGACCAGGGAGGGCACCCCACTAGCCACAAATGCCTCTTTTCATTCTCTGACAGTATATGTGCCACAACTATGCGATGGGGTTCTTACTCCTAACAATAACAATATATAAATAATTAACATTTACTGTTGAGTAGTAAACTGGTGTATATGAGGTGTGTGATGTTTATCATCTGTGCCAAAGTCTTATTCTTACAAAAGTGGCCAAGAGTATTCATTATTAGTTATCCACAGATTAAAAATGAAGTTTCTGATAAACACCTCTCAGAATGTTTTTCTGATATACCTTCTCTGGTGCTTCAAGTAGGAAAACAGTTCATCAATTAGGAGGACCTGGCAGTGAGAGATGAACAAGCATACTGTCTTCATCTCTGGATTCAAGTTGTTAATATTAAAGAGAAAGATTAGCTTCAGAGTTTTTTCCAACTTTGCCAGCAACTTGCGTATTATACCCACGATGTCCAATATATAATTCAGGTTAAGCATCCCTAATTTAAAAATCTGAAGTGCTCCAAACTCTGAAACTTTTTGCATGTCAATGTGATGCCACAAGCAGAAAGTTCCACACCTGACCTCACATGACAAGTTGCAGTCAAAAGACAGGAGACCTAAAAGAATTGTATGAAGTTATCTAGGACTGTGTATAAAGTATATATGAAGTATAATTGAATTTCGTGTTTAGATTTGGGGAACCATCCTGAAGATAACTCAGTATGCATATGCAAATATTCTAAAATTGAGAAAACACCCAAATCTAAAACATTTCTTGTTTCAAGCATTTTTTGGATAAGGGACATTCACCTTATGTGGAGGAGAAATCACAACCTCAAAGGCAAATACTTCAAAATATACTTCAAATGCTTAAATCTATATTACCAGAAATCACTGAGAGTAATTTGGAACTCTGGGAACAGAGAGAGTTCCCCAAACTTCATGAGACAGCCTTGGAAAGTTGAATGGTAACTTGTTTTTTAGCAGGTCTGCCATCATTTCAACTGAAAATAAATTATAGATGACACTTCCTACCTTCCTCACTCCCTCTTGACTTTGAACTATATTTTTCCCATTTTCTTGAACTCCCAAATTTCTTATTTTATTCACTGGTTCTCTTATAACCACAGGAGAATTAACAGGTACACACACAGACATATATACACACACACACACACACACACACACACACACACCATTGCAAGGTGGTACACATAGTGGCTAGAAAGTTGTATAACTGAACAAAACACCTGGGTTCAAATCCTGCCTCCAGGTGAAGTCAGCTGTGTGACTTGCCTGTTTCCTTAACTGTAAAGTGGGTAACGATGTTTCTTTAACTGTAAGGTGGGTAACAGTAGTGTCTGCCTCATAGGGATATTGTAAAGACTAAATTAGATAATCCATGTAAATTACTCAAAAGAGTGTGGCATATACTTGCTAGCATAGATAGAGTTCAGTAAATAAACTATGTATGTATTTAACTTTTTAATTGAATTTTGTGGAACTTCAGTGCAGGGATTTGTGTGTGCACTTAATTATATATAAGTTGGGTTTTTCTAAAACTAAACTTAAGTTGCCTTCCCTGAACACGTATCAGCAGTGGAAGGAGGTGGTCCCCAAGCGTGGAATGCCACAGGTAGGGATGTTCCAGGATTAAAATACTACTCAAAGGATAATCCCCATGGAGATGATCAAGTTGGTTTTGTGCACTCTGTGAAGGGATGTCCCATAGACCCTGAAATAGACATTTTTCACCCAAACATCAAAAAGCACTGAGAAGCAAAACTACATCGTGTAGCCAAGTGGCATTGATTCATAGACATCCCCTCTTCCTTCTCCAAGTCTGGGGACTCTGTAGAGGTCCATCTCTCTTAAAGAATGTGGCAGGTAAAACAGTGCATCTACTGTAAGTGCAGAAATCGGCATCCCTGCACACAGCCAAGAAAACAGAGCCACTTTATACTAGAACTTCCACACTTCTGAAAATGTGTGCCTGAACCATGCCAAGTTTAATGGGGCTCTATCTGTGTCTAAGGTCAGCCGCAGGTGGGGGCTGGGAGGAGGGAGCTTCCTTTGATCCATCTAATGAATTAATGAATTAAACAGAGGTGGAGTTCAGAAGCCAGGCTCCCTACTTTCCCTGAAGCAGGGCTGATTATGAACTAGCATAACTGCTGGAAAAATGCAGCTTTGAGCTAGAAGAATTAGGGACATGGCGGAGTCCATTCATCTTCCCTAATCGAGTTCTTGGGAAATACACATGTAGATTAGCCCCTAACAATGACCCCCGGCTGATTGCTTGGAGTACCCTCCACCGCGCCCACAATGGTATTGACTGGCTCTTTATGTCCCACACAAAGGCATGGAGCTCCCCTGTCCAGCTCAGCCCGGCCCTGCAGGCCCTCACCAGCGGCTGTTGAAGTCTTTCTGCTTTTCTCCTGAGACTTCGAAATAAATAGTAAATAAAAGCTCACCTCACCTGGACCTATTAGGAAGAGCTGGGCAGTTCTAGAAGGTATTAACTTTGGAAAACAAGGCCATAAACCCCTTAACACTGTGTGGACAGGAGCTTAAGAAATGGCTGCCAATCTTCATTTGGCAGTGATTATAAAGATCAATTAAATATTGAGGAAGTTTATATAAAAAGCATTCTCAGAAGGGAAGCAACAAACACTGATTAATGGTATCTACATCTGCCCTCAGGTCAATTCAGTCCCTGGACCACTTGGTCTATGTAACTGGCACCTAAGAAGGGGCAATGTCTTGGGCAGCAACTTGAACTGCCTAGATGGCTGATGAGGGGCTGGAGATATGTTTCACCTGGTGTACAGTGGAACCTGCTGTGGGTTTGTAAGTCTCTCTGGACATTGATGCCCATGGCCATTCTCAATGGATTCTGACTTTATTTCTTCCAAGTGCTGGCAATGTGTCCACTTCAACCTCTTAGATGCATAATCCAGGGACTCTTCAGGGAAGAATTGCAGATTGCAGCAAAGATGTGCTTTCTTAAAATAAATAAATAAAATAAAACTAAAAAACCCTCTAAATAATAATTACCAAGGTGCTGCAGCCAGAAAATCCAAGACAAGGAGTCAGTTGGCCTGAACTCTGGTCCTGACCCCTCCACTTCATGGCTGTCTCACTTTGATCCTCAGTTTCCTTATCTGTAAAGTGGGGACCATTTTACAGCATTGTGAGGATCAGATGATATGGAAAAATGTAAAGTCTTCTTAAAACTAAAACTATAAAACATGAAGTGCTATTAATTTTCATTTAGCTTTTTTCTTAAAACAGAAAATAATTTCAATCCACTGCAAATGCAAGCGTGCTTGCTATTTTAAATTACCTTTTTTGTAATTTTATTTAAAATACAGCTATTAATGATCCCCTCCCCATATGCCTATCAGGGAGAAGTGATCATTTAACAATCCTTAAGGTATTCAGTTTTCCTTCGCAAATGGTCTTCTAACGCCAATCTCCGAGGGCGGATGTTTTCTCCTTTGCCTTGTCTCAGACTGGACGCTATAAACTCCTCAAGGCCAGGGGTACTGCCCACGACCTACAAGGCCCACGACCTCGCCAAGGGCAGTACTGGGCCAGCAGAACCAACGCAACAAAGGAGTGTCTGGATGCAAGCAGGAAGAAAGGAAAGGGGGGTAGGGAAGAGACCGCTGAGATGGAGATCCAGAGGACCTACCAAAATAATTGAGGAACGTGGTTCCCTAGATCTTTAGCTTTGGGGGGAGTATTTTAATTCGTGCTCCCAGTTAATAGTCCAGGAAGGCTGGGCTCCTGCTCCACTTGGAAGGTTGCAATGTTCCCAGTGCCATTGTCCATCAGCACCGCGGGACGTGAAAACACACTCGCCCTCACAAATCATCCTTCTGCTTAGCCTTTGAGTAGCTCTGGGTCAAGGGGCCCCATAGGGGGAAGAAACGCAAGCGGATTATGCCGGTAAACCTCAGGGAAGCGCGGGCTGTCTCTGTGGGCCAAGATTCTTCCCCTTCAGCTCTGGGTCTTCCCCTTGGCCTGGAGAAGTGTTGGGAGCTAGAAGGAAGGTGCCTGTAAGTAAAGGGCCCTGTCCTTCCCCCAGGGCAGAGATAGCGAGGAACTCCTTGCGGGTGTGCTGCCCGGCATCAGCTCAGCAGCTTATGGCTCTCTCGGCCTCCCAGCTCTTGAGGTCACCGGACCTGCAGATGGCCCCACCCGCTGCTTTAGCGGGCAAGAGAGTGAGAGAGGCTGCCCTCGCGCACGTCTTAGGGGGTAGTTAAAAAAGACAAAGACTAAAGAAACCCGATGTCTGGGACTTGGGACCACTGGGCTGAAAGAGGAGTGCGGGTGGGGTTACAAAACAGGACGAGAGATGATTCAAACTGGGAGTGTGCGCTGACCTCCCTACCCCTCAGAGCTGCAAAGCCTTCGGCTGGGATCTGGGCTCTTTCTAGGGGCGCCCGGTCACCAAGCCTGGGTGTGCAGCCCTACAGGCGAAGTGAGCCGCAGTGGGGAGGTGAAAGCAAGCGAGCGGAAGAGGGGGACCCAAGGAGGTCAGCGCCTTTGAGGCAGGACTGGGGCAGGGAAGCAGGGGAAATCAGGCTAGCCGACAGGAGCCCCCAGGCCCGTCAAACATCCCACCTCTACACCCCAGAGAGTGTTGGTGGTATTTGAAAAAGGATGATCAAGAGGTGGAGGGGAGTCGAGGGGACGTTCCTAGTGCTGGCCTTGGAGTGGCAGGGCTAGGACCCCGAGGCTGGGCAGGAGAAGGACCCGCCCCTCTGAGGGGGGAGGGGCTGAGAAGGGGCCCGGTCCCGGCGTGAGAGGAGGAGCCCCGGACTAGCCCGCTCCCAGCTTTAGCTTCCGGAGCCCCAGTTGCTCCGCCGCCGAACTTCCAACTTCTGCAGCGACTCGGGCGGCGGAGGGTCGAGCGCTCGCCCACCTCTAGCGCAGGCGGCCTGGGCGGGGTTGCAAGCCGAGCTTGACCGTGGGTAGAACCCGTGCGGTTGCGCGCGTTCCAGAAGTCCCACTCCCCTGACCTGTACAGTTGGAAAGAGTCCGCTTGGAACCTCTTCTATCTCCAAAGCGGCCAGCCTTCCTCCAGGCGCTCCCCATGCACCTGCCGGGCTGCGCGCCCGCCATGGCCAACGGGAGCTTTTCGCTCGCGGGTCACCTGCTCCGCAGTCCAGGCGGGAGCACCTCGCGGTTGCACAGCATCGAGGCCATCCTGGGCTTTACCAAGGATGACGGGATCCTCGGTACCTTTCCGGCGGAACGGGGCGCCCGGGTAGCGAAGGAGCGGGAGCGAAGGCTGGGCGCGCGGCCCGCCTGTCCCAAGGCGCCTGGGGGAGGCGCGGAGCCCTCCCCGCCGCCAGCACCCGCGCCGGTCCCCGAGTACGAAGGTGAGTGTCAACTGCAGGCTGCTGCGGCGCCCTTGAGGCGCTCTGCAAGAGGAGAGCGTCCCTTCGTTAACTTTTATTGAGGCGACTGGGCACGGGGGTGGGGGTACTGTCCACGACGGGAGCTTCCAACTTGCGTCCAGAGGATGCTTAGGAACCCCTTGCAGTTTCCACCCACCCACGACCTCTCGAGGCCAACTCTTCGCGGTAGCTGGGCTGGCCAGACACTACGAGGAGGCATGGTAGGCCCAGGGATGCTCCCGCAGTGTCTCTGACCCTCAGGGGCCTCGTCGCCCCAGCCTCTCGCCCCTACTGTCCCAAGGAGCCGGGGGAGGCACGGCCGAGTCCAGGGTTGCCTGTCGGGCCAGCCGCTGGCGACGCGAAGCTGTCGGAGGAGGAGCAGCCCAAAAAGAAGCACCGGCGGAACCGCACGACTTTCACCACGTACCAGCTGCACGAGCTGGAGCGCGCCTTCGAAAAGTCCCACTACCCTGACGTGTACAGCCGGGAGGAGCTGGCGGGCAAGGTCAACCTACCCGAGGTCCGGGTCCAGGTAAAACGCCCGAATTAAGGGATTGGGATCCGAGAGGGCCCAGGCCTAAACTGCAGCCAGTGCTTCTCTGGGTTCCCGGGCATCCAAGCATTTATTATCGTGTTTCTTTGGCAAGCCCAGAGGTTCCCCCACGCACCCGTCTTCTGGCAGAATGTCCGAGTTTATAGGACGATCCCCCTTTTGGGGTGGATCTCCCTCTTCTAAACTAAAAGGAGGAATTGAGAATGACTTTTGAGATAAAAGCCGGGATGGGGTTGGGGAGACGATGCTGCGCGGAAAGGGAATGTAGGCAGAGAGCACAGAGTCACTGGATTGAGATCCCAAATACCACCCTTGCAGCGCACATCTTGATGAAAAGGAAAACACTGTCTCCTTGCGCCGGACCGCAGTTGAAACTTAAGAAAGTGGATTTTAGAAAGTGACTTTTCCTTCTCTGGTGCACGTCCAACCGAAATTTAGCGCTGCAGAGGCCTTTTCTTTTTATTGTAAAGGGGTTTTCGCTTTAATTAAAGCTGAATTATCTTTAATCCCTGATCATTAAAATATTTGAAAGCCTTAAATATTTGCTAGTCATCTGTGAAAAATCTGGGAGGAGTTCCAAATTGGGAGAGTTTAGAGAGGCCTGAAAGAGAGACACTGGGAACAAATTTCAGTGCATCTGAAAGGCAGTGGAACTGAGATGGGATTCTTGTGTGTGTCTATGAAATTAGATTTCCAGGAAGTAAGGATACTCAGGTGTCTGGTGCTTTTTTAGCTGTGTTTTAGAAGTAAAAGGGAACAAGCTCTTGCCTTTTGTCTCTCTTTTGCTTAGGTTAGGGGTTTAAAGTAATGAGTAAAAAGTCGTTGTTTTTAAAAGGTTCACTAATGTGACTCAGGATTAACTAGCAAGGACAGTTCAATTTCTCCTAATTTGGGGCAGTAAAGCGGCAATCATTTCATTGAAGGGATGGAAATTTTAGCACCTGCTTTCCATTAGAGGGAGGGTTTGGTAGGGAGGGGGAGACTATAAGCCAAAGATGAAGAAAGAGGAGAGGCCCGGGCTTTCAGTGCCCTACATCATGCAGGTAAGGCAGCTTGAAGCCCACCTTTGCACTACTCTTTGCACCTGACCCCACCTTTTTTCTGGTTGTCCCACTTTACTTGTTCAGGGGTTTTGGCTTCTCTGAGTTGTGAGAATCTTGAAAACAGCGTGACTTCTCTGTGACTATAGGGCCAGCACAGTGCTCAGCATATAGCGGTTCTTAATATCTGCATGTGGTATATTTGGCATTGGAGGCATTAGGAGAGCAGTAGGATAGCCAACTCTCCCAGGCTTCAGCTATATGAACTTGGATACTGTATCAGAGAGCTAGAGCTGCAGTTTCTGGCAATAAGGGAAGCCCAAGTGGTAGTGGGAAGGGAACCCTCACCCCAGCCTGTTTCTCTTTTCTCTAATGTAGCCAAACATCTAATATTTCCTGGTGGTTCAGGGCCTTGGGTATGCAGATAAATCTTTATAGGAAGGGGACAGGGATGCTTACATTTTTCTTCTTTCCTCTTTTCTCCCAAATTCCAGCCTTGCCCTACTCAGTGCTGGACTATTGTTTTCTTAGCTCTCCTAGGTTGCCCTCACCTTCCTGTCCAACATAAATCTGCTTTCCCCCTTCTAGATTGCAACTATTCGCTCCGTTCCCTTCATAAGCACAATACTGAAGCCATCTGTTTGGCCAAAGTTTTTCCATATTCTCCCCTAAACTAAACCAATTCTCTCTGTTCTGTTTTCGAGAGTGGAACTTGGTGGTGAAACGTTAATTACATTCCATTCTGGTGCTTTTGTTAGTAGTGGAGGATTCACTGCAAGAAACCAGTGAAAGCTTGGCCAGGACTATATGAACAGCAAGAAGGAAAAAAAACCTTGAGTACTTACTGAGCTAATAATATCTTAGGATAATGTCAACCAGAAAGTAAAAGTAGATACAATAAATGTGAACATTGTAACCTGTGAAAGTAATCCATAAGAAACTTCAGAAATACTAAACAACTATCAATGAAATAAAATGAAAACCTTATTAAAGCAATAATTGAAATGTGCATATGGTAAAATAAGCCCATTTGCTTCTATCTATATGATAACTAATAATCCATGGAAATAGCTGTATTCAACTCTGATGTTGCCAGTATTTATGTGTACCCACGTTTATAATAGAGACAAAAAGGCAGATATAACAAGGTATGAGTCAAACACATAGCAATTGAGAATTATATCATACTGGGAAAAAGCAAAATCTTAACTCAAGTGTCAAGAGGAGCTGCCATCCAGCAGGTCACAGAGATCTGGTTTCAAGGGCCTATGGTCCAGAGCAAAGTGAAACTCTTTTTTTTTTTTTTTCTTTCTGAGCATCTGCTCCATGTCAGGAATTAGAATCAGATGTAGTCACAATCAGAGCTATGGGTGCGGTCAACAGGGGAAGGGTGTGGATGCCTCAGAGGACTAAGATGGGACAAAGAGATTCACCGCAGGGAAGAGGCAAAAAGGAAAAAAAAAAAACAATGAAAAAGAAAATAAAGACATTGGATGGAAGGAAAGGTGGGGATGAAGGGAGTCGTAGGGGATGAAAGAAAAGAAGGCCCAAGGCCCTCTCCGCAGATGCAAAATAGTCAGTACTAATTTTGTTTGGAGCTGGGGGGTCAAACTAGCCAGTTTGCCTTTGGCGCGGGAGTCGGGCATGAGTTGCAGCCTACGACCTCGACGTCCGCTGTGCTTTCTCTTGCAGGTGTGGTTCCAGAACCGACGGGCCAAGTGGCGACGGCAGGAGAAGCTGGAAGTGTCCTCCATGAAGCTGCAGGACTCGCCCCTCCTCTCTTTCAGCCGCTCCCCGCCC